ATCTTCCTCTCCACCCGAGCGATGCGAGCCTCGAGTGTTTGCCTTTTGAGGCCTAGCCGTTGCCTCTCTTCACACAAGCGACGGTGCTTGTCGGCAACCTAGCATAAAGATGAATGAATAAGATGAAACAAAAAGTTTTTAAATCAAAAACTTTAAGTATTTACCTTGTCAATAAAGTCGCAAGCCTCTTTTTTCTCCTTTGAAGGAAAGTGAAAGACGGCGTGAGGGAAGAGAACGCCGGCCGGTTCAAAGCCGTCGCCGGACAAGAAAAGTGGGCTGCCGGGATCAACGGGGGCTACTTTTTCGTTTTCCATTCTCGAAATATTTCTCAAGTAAGATTCTAAAATCGTGTTTAAATAAAGCTTAGAAGTAGGTAAGCCTTTATTTATAATGATTTAGGGTTTGTCTTGGAACCATAAATCCAATAATGGTAGTGTGCCCGAGTGGTTTAAACCATTTTTGGAAAATCGAGAAAAGGCAGTTATTGCATTAAAGACGAGCCGTTTTCCCTACTTTGAGAAATAAGAAGGGAAAGAGCAACCGTCGCATTAACTACAAAATTTTGTAAGGCTCAAGCCCAATAAATTTATCGAGTTGACTAAACCCGAAGTGGGGAACTCGCTTTAAGCCGAGCTCAGTTCTCGCATTCTAAAGAGAAAGGTCTGATCAGCCTAAAAATCTCAAAAACATAACCACAGGGCCACAAAAGGTTAAAAGCGGACTTTGCAAACCCGCATATAATTTTAACCAAACCCCCTTGGGTCATAACCTAGAAAGGTTTAAAAGCCTCCACAGGCAAATATCTTGTTCAAAAGAAATATTAAAGCCTCCTTAGGCCAAAAATAAGTTCGAAATTAAGTTTAAACTAAATGGGACAATCCCCAGTTTAAAGTGGACACAGCCACTACGGATCGACCTCCACCTCGGACTCCGGCTCAGCTGTCGAAGTTTCAGTCGCCTCCTTAACCGGCGCTTGATCAGATGAAGCTCCTGGACCACCCTCCGCGGTACAACCATCTTCCGGAGTGACCTCCGGTACCGCAGGAACTTCGGCTGAGACAACGTTTACCGTCTCACTTGAGCCTAGAAAAAATAATTCCAGTCAATCAAGGGTACAAGGTAAGAAAAGGTAATGAGTATTAAGAGCTAAAAGTTACCCGCCCAGTCTAGACCCGATTCACTTATAGGAGGAGATTCTGTAAAGAATTCCACAATGTCCTGCGGGTTGAAAGTCGAAGCGGGAAGAGCTGCCAAACGACTCCGCTTTTCAGAAAGATTGGTCGACAGTTCGGCCCTCTCTTGCACTTCGGAGAAATCTGCATCATGGATTTGGTCCAACAGAATCAGGTTGCTCTCATGCTCCTTGATGTCTGATTCCAGATCTAACCTGGCTTTCTCGGTTTGAATGAAGCGGATGGCCCCCTGGATCAACTCCATCCCGCGTCCCTTAACATCTTTTCTGGCTTTCGATGCTGACCTTGCCAACTCGGAATCACGCAACTTGGCTAACGCCTTGTACTTCGCGTTAAGCTCGATAAGTTGGTTGTTTAGGGTGTCGGCGTTTGATTCGGATTCATGGAGTCTACCCTGAACACCAGAAAGTTCATCCTGGAGCTTGTAATTCCGGTCATACTGGTCTTGCAGCTCCCCCTTTATCTGCGCAAGCTCGGATGTTAAACTGTCGACCTTGTCCTCCAGATCGTGCTTGGAGCCGGCAGAAGAACTGAGTTCAGCCTCAAGAGCAGAGAATTTCTTCTTCCACATGTCAATCTCTTTCTCCCGTCCAATGACCAACCCTTCGTAATGTTCGATCATGTCGTTAAGTTCGCTGTGAGCCTGGCAGTATATATATAAACCCGGGATGGCGAGTCAGTTTGCAGAATGGCAATACATAAAAAAAAAAACGGAACTAACCCGAGATGAATGATGAGCGTGAAGCAAATAGCGTTCACGAATCGCAGGGCGCCATTTGTCGAAGTCTGGCAAGATCGAACCCGATCGGGTCTTGAAGCATCGGAAGACGCTGCCTTCTTTCTCCATAGCTGCGAAGAAGGAAGAGTTGTAAAAATTGGAATCTTAATAGAGACAAAAACGTTTAAGTATGTGTGAATCACCAAACCTGAAAGCGATTTGACTTGAGGGACGAGAGCAGGCTTTAACCTCGAGGAAGCATCTCGAGATTCAGAGTCTCCCTTCTTAGGAGATGCACTCCGAGCAGTCTTCTCGCTGTCAGGATGAGAAGAGGAAGACATATCAACCGGTCGTGGAGGACCCATTGGTTCAGAAGGAGGGGATGATCGAGGTGAACGGTCAGTCCGGGCCCTAGACTTCTCCCTTCGCGGAGAAGAGTCACTGCGGGATGACTTGTCTCTCTTCCTGCGAACCAAGTTCTTAAGTGGTTCGCTGCTAAAATCGTCTCGGGGAGGACGAGGAGGATCATGACGAGGAGATCGCTCTCTCCGAGGAGAACGATGATCATGACGTTCGCGACGAGGTGTTAACCTATAAGCAGCAACGGATCTGGCTCCCTCGGAGCTGCCATCATCAACCAGCAGGGTCCTACTGTAGTCCTTCTTGTCTATAGAAGTCGCGAGAAACTTTTTCTTCTCCTCGCAAACCTCAGCCATCGGTTTGGAAAGCATCTTACGCTTGGCCGCAAGGGCCCGAGATGACATCCCCTGAGTTGAGGGAGGAGGTGGAAGTTGGTGAAGATGACCTGGTGGACTCATCCTGAGTCTGTGGTTAGCTTCTAGGAATCGTTCAAGAGTGAAAGAATTCCAAAGGGTTTCCCCTTCAAGAATTATTTTGAAGAATTCGATGAACTCTTCAGATGGAAGAGTGGAAGCGACGAAAGCTGCGATATGAAACAACGGTGTTAGTCAATAAAGATAAAGAAATAACCGGGAAAGATACGGGCGACCTAATCTCTACCAGGTTTCGCAGACCACTTCGAAGGAAGAAAATCTGCAAGATTTCCAATCGAAGCAGGAGTTTTCTTAATCAGAAACCAAGGATGATGCCAATTTTCATCCTTGTTCGGAAGATGCGAAATGATGTTCCTGTTGGCGTTAGGATATGCTGAGAAATACCCCGTTTTCTTCGATGAACTTCTCACGCTTAGAAGCTCATTTAGTTCAGTGACTCCGATAACGTATCCGGCCTCCGCCGCGATTGTTATAATTCCAAGAACAGTACGAAGAAGATTGGGGGTTAATTGAGGAAGAGCGATTTCAAGAGCCGCTAGGTATCGAACTAGGGCTTCGGGAAGAGGAAAAGTCAGCCCGCAACCTTTAAAATAGATCTCATACACACAGAAATAGCCGTCGCGATGGTTTTCTGGGGACTCCGTAGGGTCAGCTATCTGCGCCTCCGCCATAATTCCCGGTGGGATTCGGCAGAGCTCCCTCAATCGTTCGAGGGATTGGAGGGTGCAGGTGGATCTATAGTGCGGACCGGCAATATCATTAGGGCGGGTGCACTCGTCATTGCTAGAACGCCTCTCATCAAAAGACGGAGACTCGGGTCTATCGGAATCGGAAGTCATTGGGAAGAATGAAAAATTCAAGTTTCGGGAAAAAGAAGAATTTGGAGAGAGAAGTAGAAGGAGTTTTTTAACCACAAAGATCAAGAGTAAAAGTAATAATGAAAAAGAAGGTTACCTCACACAAGCTAGGTGATAATGATGGAACCGTCTTGGAAATCGTGGAAGAAGTGGGAAGGTTTTTTCCCGCTTTAATAGTAAATAAACGATATGCGGTCATAATGGCGACAGATGTCACGCGACTAAATATGGGTAGCACCGAAATTAAAGGACTGATGGGATCTTGGCGGGAAAATCAGAAGATTCCTCGGAACGCAATCTTTGGTCATTAAAGCATTTAAAGTCCTCCGAATTGGAATAGCACTTCGAAGAACTTGGGGGGCTAATTGTTGGTGTCGGATCCCGCACCAGAAGTCCGAGACCAACCAAAAATTGCCACGTAGTCAAGATAAAGGCCCATAAAGGATAAAACCTGTCGGATCCGTAAGCCAAAGGAGCAGTCGAAGTGGGTATCGCCACAAGGAGAATCCGAAGTGACTGCATTTCGGCATGAGTCCGGCACCGAAGTCACGGTTGAGTTGGTTTAAGGACATTTGGGCCAAAAGGCGGGGCCCATAAAGATCAGAGTCAAACCAAATTCAAACGTTGAGGCATTAAAGCCAAAGATCAAAACGGACACATTTAAGAGGGAATAATTGTACTTAATTATTCACTTTAATGACGTTTCTTTATGTATAAATATAAAGGCCAATGGCCATGTAAAGGGGATCTTCCTCAGGAGAAAGAAATACTATAGCAATTTTCGTAGCAATTTATAAGTTTTTACATATTCATTTTTGTCCCTCAAGAATAATCTTTCCTACTTAATAAAAATACTTGAGTGTGTGAATCCGACTTCCACACACATGGCCAGTGCTGCTAGTCAATTACAATATGGCTCCAACTGAGTGTATGAAAGCTGAGAACATAATGTTGACAATGTTGATACTTGGACCAACCGCACCAAGCAACAACATTGATGTATATCTACAACCTTTGATAGATGACCTAAAAGACTTGTGGAATGAAGGTATGGTAGTTTATGACTCATTTAAGAAGGAGAGTTTCACTCTAAGAGCTATGCTTCTATGGAGTATTACTGACTATCCAACATTAGGTACATTAGCAGGATGTAAGGTGAAGGGGAAGCAAGCTTGTAATGTTTGTGGGAAGGATACACCTCACAGATGGTTAAAGTTTAGTCGCAAGAATGTTTATATGGGAAACAGAAGGCGTTTGAGGCCTAATCATCCTTACAGGCGTAGGAAAGTGTGGTTTGACAATACAGTTGAGCTTGGTACTGCTAATAGGATTCAAAGTGGAGCAGAAATCTATGAGTGCCTTAGAGATTTTAGGAATGAATTTGGTAGACCGTACCTTTAGAAAAGAAAGGCAAGAGAAAAAGGATAGAAGCATATGAAGAAGAAGATGATCAATGGCGGTGGAAAAAAATGTCAATCTTCTTTCAGTTGGCTTACTGGAAGGTTAGAATAATCATTAGTATCATCAGTTTTAATTTAAACTAATCTTTATTATCTGTTATTGAGTGTCTAACAATAACTTGTTATAAATTTTGCAGGATTTGCTTGTAAGCCATAATATTGATGTAATGCACGTGGAAAAAAATGTTTCTGATGCACTGTTATCAATTCTGATGCATAATGGGAAATCCAAGGATGGTTTAAAAGCAAGAAAATACTTAGAAGACATTGGTATTCGTAGCAACTTACACACACAGAAGCGTGGGAAGAGAACTTACTTGCCTTCAGCGGCGTATTGGCTTTCTAAGGAGGAAAAACGTAAATTCTGCAGAAGATTATCCAAATTCAGAGGACCAGATGGATATTGTGCCAACATATCCAATTGTGTGTCAGTAGATCCTCCCAACATTGGTAGTATGAAGTCACATGACCACCATGTTATGCTGCAAAATTTGTTTCCTGTGGCATTGAGAGGTTTACTGCCTAGAGGACCTCGTATTGTAGTGAATTGTATCTGCAATTTCTTCAATAGATGTTCCAACGTGTAATTGATCCAGAGAAGCTTGTTACATTAGAATCAGAGGTTATAGAAACAATGTGCCAGTTGGAGAGATACTTTCCACCATTACTTTTTGACATTATGTTTCACCTGCCAATACATCTAGCAAGAGAAGCACGCTTGGGTGGCCATGTACACTTCAGATGGATGTATTCATTTGAGAGGTAATGTTAATGGTCTTACTATAGTTATACAATAAACTATTTGTATTATTTCTCTTATAATTACTCATAATAAGTTTTGTTATTGCCATCTAGGTACATGAAGACACTTAAGGCATATGTGAAGAATTTTGCAAGGCCAGAAGCTTTTATGGCGGAGGGCTACTTGGCTGGTGAATGCATTGCATTCTGTTTGGAGTTCCTCCAGAAATCTGTTCTAGTACAAGAAACTCTTAATCGTAATGAAGATCTTGAAGCAGATCAACAAATTCTTGAAGGCAGACCACTACATAAAGCTACAGAAAAGACTCTTACAGATAAAGAACGAGACATAGCTCATCGGTATATTCTCATGAATACAGCAGTCATGGAACCATATATTGAGTAAGTGCAAAGCTAATACAGATTTATGTTTAAAAGCTTGATGATTAAAGTGTAACAAAGACTAACTTTATTGAAAACAGGTTGCATTTGGAAGAACTACAAGCTACAGATGTAAGATGTGCAAAGAATGAAACACTCTTGTGGAAATATCACACAGAAAGGTTCCCACAATGGATCAAATATAAGGTTAGAAGAATGTCAATTGTGTAGTGTTTTTTAATTTCATGTCATTGACATTATGTTTCTCTGTTTCATGTTAGATACCAAGTAACTCAAAAGATCATTCTAGTAGACTGAGATGGCTTGCATTTGGACCAAGACATATTGCTCAAACTTACAAGGGGTATATAATTAATGGTAAGCGGTTCCACACTGATGATGTCAAGAGGAAAACCCAGGAGAGTGGAGTAACTTATGAAGCATTTTCTATGTGTAGATCAAGTGCTAAAGATACTAGACAAATGGCGGTAGATATAATATCATTCTATGGAGTGATAAAGGAGATCTTGATGCTGGACTACCACATGTTCCAGATTCCAGTTTTTAGGTGTATTTGGGCTAACAAAGGGAATGGAGTGAAAGAGGAAGACGGTTTCACACTTGTCAATCTCCATATGAACCAGTCAGCATACTTAAATGATCCTTTCATTTTGGCATCGCAGGCTAAACAAGTTTTTTATTCTAGAGAAGATGACAGCTCACCTTGGTATGTTTGTATGAGGGCGCCACCAAGAGGGTACCATGAGCTAGAAACAGTAGAGGAGTTTGTTTCTACACCATTATCAGTCCAGCCAATTGAAGATTTAGGAGATCAATCATCTGACGACGAGAGTTTTTGTGTTAGGTCTGATTGTGAAGGTGTTATAGTAGAGGACTAATTAAAACTTTTTTTTGTTTCAGGTAATCAAAAACAATGAAATAAGTTACTGAAATCCGTCGCAGTAAGCGCCAGGCAGGCCTTGATGTCACTCCTGTAGTGTCATTGAAGAAGAAGAAGAGAAACAAGAAGTCTATCATTGAAGAGAATGAAAGAGACAATGAAGAAGAGAGAATAGAAGTGGCTACTGAAGGAGATGATGGTGTAGAGGAAGAAGATATTAATGGAGAAGAAGATATTGAAGAACAAGAGAATGGAGCAGAAGATAATGAAGAACAAGATAATGGTCAGTCTCAAGAGAATGAAAGAGATAATGAAGAAGTAGAAGAACACTCACCCCAAATACAAGAAGATCCAATACCTCCTTCCACAGCAAGTGCCTCTGAAACCCAGACACACCAGTCAGACGACAAAAATAGGAAGTCAAGAGGTCCAACTAGAATGCGCAAAGTGGCAAAGAATCTTGAGGATAAGGTAGAAGTGGAGTTTAATGCTCTTGGTGAGCATGTTGGTAAGGGATCAGTGACACTCTCCTCTTTCCTTGGTCCTCTAGTGAGAGAGCATGTGCCTGTACTGCTAGATGACTGGAGACAGCTTGATCAAAGGACAAAAGACGTTATGTGGGAAGAAATTCAGGTTATTTTTCACTTTTGCTTGAATAAAAGTTATATGAGAGTGTTGTTTGTGTCTTAACTTGGCAATGTTTGACAGGGGAGGTTCAATATAAAAGAAGATTGGCAGAAAGAAGCAGTATTTAGGCAAATGGGTGGTATGTGGAGGGCTGTCAAATCCAAGCTTGTTACCAAAGTAAGATCTACTAAAAGCAAAGTTGCTCTACAGCAAATGAAGCCTAGCAACATCCAATGTACATCAGCCTGGAACAGTTGGGTTAAGAACAAATGCACATCAGCTTTTAAGGTTATTGTTTACACTCCTTTGATTAATTTCCTTAAAATAGTTATACTCATCTGACTCCTTTTGTCTATAGGAACGAAGTGAAAAATACAGGCAACTGAGGAAGGGTCAAATTCCTCATACTACAAGCCCCAAAGGAATGACTCGCTTAGCTGATGAGATGGTATGTATTTTGTTTTGCATTGGGTACTTTTATTAGTAATTTACTCATGAGGTGTTATGTATATGTGCATGAACTTGTAGAAAAAAATAGTTCTGATCCTAGAAAAGTTACTAGAAGTAGGGTGTGGATAGCAGGACATACACATTCTGATGGGAGACCTGTGAGGGAAGAGTTTGCAGAAACTATTGTAAGTAGCACTTAAAATCTTTTTCAATTGTTATTCAGGTTACTTTAAAGATTGTTTCTACATATTGTGATATAAAATTTGATGTCAGGAAATGATCAAGACCATTGATAGTGAAATGGACTCCACCACATCCACGGATAATGTTAGGGAAGATGCTGTGAGTCAGGTACTAGGAAAAGACAGACCAAGAAGAGTTAGGGGGATGGGCAGAGGCGCAACTGTTACAAAGTTAGCATTCTCACAGACAAGAGACTCTCATGTCAAGAAGCTTGAAGCTTCTCAAGCAGAATTGCTAAGTAAGCTTGAAAATTTGCAGAATGTGGTTAGTAACTTAGCTAGTAAAAAGGTAAACCTTTTGGCACTCATTGTTTCACAATGCCAACTTATATAAGTTTTGGTTAATTATGTGTTTTTTTGGTCATTGCAGAGACAAACTGATGATGTTTCCATGTCTGACTTAAGCAATGTTAGCAAAAGAGGAGTTAGGTGTCAGCTTCTTGATTGGTGTTCAAATGTTGAGGTGGTTGTTGGTGAAGGAGAATTCTGCTCCAGTGAACACACATATAAGATTGGTAGAATACCATTGGGTCGCAATGCATCTGTTGTACTTGTGAAGTCCACAACAGTTATACATGCATCTGTCTGGAGACCTACTCCAACCATTTTCACACTTAGTGAAGCTGTTGGACATAAAATTGCATGGCCACTTGACAAGATTATATTGGATGAGGATATTAACTTGTCCCAACCTACTAAGACTGTCGAATCAGAGCAGGTAAATTACAACTACTATTGAGTTCCTCTTAAATTCATATTGGTTAGATTACTAATATAGATATATGTTTGCATGATTCATTAGCCAACAAATGAATCACTAGGAAGAATTAAAATCTTTCAATATTGGAGTGGACATGATGAAATGATTGATGAGGGTATGTTGTTGTCAACTGACCATAATGAATTGGTGTATGGTAGACCTTTATACTACAAGAAAACCTGCGTTTTGCAACTAAACTTTGCGACCGAATTATTAGTCGCAAATGTTTGCGACTATTTTGTGACTTCTGAACGACCATTTAGCGACCACAATATTTACAGATGGAATATAGTCGCTATTCTGCGACTAAAACAAATAGTCTTTACTTAGTCGTTAATTTGCGACGATTTTAAAACCGATTACATACTAATTTATTATAGTCGCAAATGGGTGGCTAATATGCGACTGATGTGCGACTCAACTTTTGGTCTCAAATGATCGTCGCAATTGAGTCTCAAAAGAGCGACTAGTTAACAACCACCTGTTATAGTTACACTTTAGTTGCAAATTAGTTGGAAAGAGTTGGCTCAAAACGCGTTGAAATGCAGAGAAAGCGACCGGTTTGCGACTAGCACCTGAAGATATTGCGACTGACACCTGAGAAAGCGACCGGCTTGCGACTATTTACCAACTATCGATTTTTGGTTTTACAAATTTCACATTTTAAATTTGTTTACATATAAAGTTAAACAATTCTACACTAATTTGATGTTACTTAGTAATAAAAACAAAACCAAAGTCATATATATTGATGTTTACAAACAAAACATTCAAAACTACCAAATCTCTTTGTCTTGTTACATTACTCTTATGAGTAATGTTTAGAGATTTAGTAAAATATCTATATTACTTGGGTTTTGCAAAGTTGTTCAACCTTAAACTAATATATGTCCTCTATAACACTAATATGAGTGTTTGTGAGTGATATATATCACTCTTTTGGATCACAATGTGTAGATTTCTAAATTTTGTCTTGTGACTAATAGATAACAGTCACAAAACAGTCGCAAAAGTGCCACCATTTTGTAACTATTGTTCATTTAGCGACTATTTTGCGACAAATATTGTAACTATTTGCCGACCAATGTTGCGACTATTTTGATACTAATTGTGAAATTTCTAAGATTTTTGCTAAGTGTTTGGTCGAACTTAGTAATAAGAACTCAACCAAGATCATAAATTTTGATGTTTACTAACAAAACATTCACAAGTACCAAATCTATTTATACTTTTACATTACTCATATGATTAATGTTTAGGGATTTAGTAAAATATCTATATTACTTGAGTTTAGCAAAGTTTTTCTACCTAAAACACTTTTATATCCTCTATACCACTAATATGAGTGTTTGTGGGTGATATATATCACCATTTTTGATCACAATGTGAAGATTTCTAAATTTTGTCTTGTGACTAATATAAAACAGTCAAAAATGAGTCGCTAAATTGGGACTAGTTTGGGACCCCTGTCCATTTAGCGACTGTTTTGGGACGTATCTTCTGACTATTTACCGACCAATATAGCGACCATTTAGCTACGGTTTGTGAAATTTCTATGATTTTGGCTAAGTGTTTGGGCGGTTTCGATTCCCCCCATTTTTTTTTGGTTTGTCACTAGTTTGCGACTAAAGAGCGACCAATACACTTAATTATTAGGTTAAAACAAAGTCGATCCTACCCTATACACACCAAATATTCTCAGTTAAATGAAAAGCCCACTCTCTATTACTCTTCATCCTCGACACTTAAGAAAAAAAAAACCCTATTCTCACCCTTCAACCTCGACATCTCCGTCCAAACCACTCTCAAACCCTAGACTGCGATATCTTAAACTTCACCCTCCGCATCTCCGACCATCACATGGCTTCCTCCGGCCAAGAGAATGACCGTCGCCAACGTCCATCCGACTCGGGTCCGGCAGGTACTGTTTATGACTCTTCTCCTTCTCGTGATTTGTAAATGCTTGATTTTGTTTTATTTGCTCGATTTCATATTAGATCTGCTGTTATTTTTGATGTTTAGGGCTGTATAGTGTTCGATTACAACCAGTTTTTAACTCGATTTCTCTCTTGGCTCTGTTTATTCCATGTTAGCTTCATTTCTCTGTTTCTCTAGGTTTTTTGGTTTGATTTTAGGTTAGTATATTACTTCAGATGATGTTTATAATTGCTTTTTCGAATTTCAAAGTGAAAAAGGTTTGATTTGTCTTTAATTTGTTCTAATCTGATTGTTAAATAAAGATTCTAAGAAACGAGTGTGTTAGTATAGTGGCTGCTCATCTAATTTGCTTAAGTTTGTGTTTGTATATTGATTCTAAGAAACTACTGTGTTTGTTGTATCTCTGTTATTATTTGTTTAAGTATGTGCTTGTTCTTTACTTCTAATTTACCTTTCAATAACTAGTGTTTCCTTTCCCTAAGTTAACCTATGATAGCATATCAGCATATAATCTCAAGGATAGCATTCTCCTTGAGATGGTAAATGGTCTTCTAATTTTCCAATGTTATTAGTTTTTGCTTCTACATTTCGACTAATATTCCTCTTTATTTTTGTACATGGTTAAGGCTGGTTTGGATGGCATGGGCACGGTAATGAATGAGCTGTCTAGAAGCGTAGTTAAATGCTCTTAGTGCAGTTTCTGGTGGACAATTCTTCAACAGCCGGCAACTAGACATGCCGTGCAAGAACACCTCATAACAGCTGCTGCCACAACCGGGACCTTGGTCAGGAAGGGTATAACTGAGACAAAGGAAAAGGTTTCCGTTGGAAAGATCAAAATGGAAGAGGTATAGCTTCTTTAATTGACTTGACAAGAATGTTTGTCGCTTCATTTTATAACGTCTGACACCTAAATTCTTTGATCTTTGTTTTCTCTTAGGCAGCCAAAAAGACTGCACAAAAAAGCAAGACCATTTTGACGGACATCGAAAGGTGGCAGAAGGTACTTGAGTCTGAAATCTGATTGGATGCCGTTGATTTGAAGTTTGGTCTCTAATATCTATTGTTTGTAAATCTGCAGGGAGTTGCCAGCTCAGATGGTAAGTTAATCGCAATTTATGGAGAGAATACAGTTTATAAACATTTAGTTAATCGAAAGGTCAATTGATTCTTTGATGGAGGGTAGTGGGGATACTTAATCCTCTTATTAGTCCATTCTTGAGATAACTATTAGTTATTAAGATTCTGCTCTGCTTGTTTGAAATGTTGTAACTTTCTCTATATGACGTTTTTTTTGGCACTCAGTGTTTGGTGTTCCGATTGAGATCATTGTCCAGCGGCAAGAGTCAAGCAGGCCTATACCACTGATACTGATTAAATGCGCAGATTATCTCATATTAACAGGTAATAATGTTTGGACCAATGGATCACAAACCTTTTATTGCTCTTATCTTCTCATATCGAGTTATCAATGTGATATTTTCCTCTTACCAGGGCTTAATTCACCGAACTTGTTCAAAGCCGAAGGAGATAAAAAGTTGATTCAACAATTGGTTTCTGCTTACAATCAAGGTAGCCGACATTCTAACAAGATTTGCCTCGACTCTTATAGCTTAGTGAGAAAGCACTCATGAAATACTATCTTGCCACCCTTCCGACACCCTTCCAGGCACCATAGGAGCTGCAGTCCAACCAGCAGGACACACCACTGGAACCACACCAACATCTCCTCTATCTAACACCGCCTCAAATCATTCAACTTGATTTTAGTTTCCTTTTGTCTGTGTATATGAACTTATTAGGATATGTTATGCTTTGATTATGATAGTTTTTGAATGGTTTGGAATGGTACTTGATTGATATTTGAATGGTTTTTGAATGCATTTGCTTTTGAAATGGACAGGTTTGGGACTAATAAGATGTAACCATTCTGTGACCAAAAAGTTTCAGAAATTCTGACTAGTTTGTGACCAGAACAATTAACAAATGTGACCAAACTGTGACTAAACAAATTTACAAATAACTCCAAATCTCGTATCAAAATGGTTACTAATAAAGGACTATATTGTCACCATAATAAATGAGTCCTAAAATAGTCGCACATTTGCAACGATATTCACCTGTCACAGATTAGTCGGTAATTTGCGACGATATATTTATAGTCGCAAAATAGTCGCAAATTAGCGACTATAGTGATACACGGAAATTTTGCGACCGTTTTTTTTGCGACCAATGGAAATAGTCGTTATTCAGTTGCAAAACCCTCTTTTGCGACCGTTTAGCGACTAATATCACAGTCGCAAATGAAGTGTTTTCTTGTGGTAATTTGGGACATGGTGTTGCAGTTGTTAAGGTCCTGGAGGTGGTTAAACCTGATGCTTATCTATGGAGACCAAATCCTCCAATCTCATTGATGAGTGATGCACTAAATGAGACCATCGCATGGCCTATTGATAGAATACAACTCCTTGAGGTACCAGCAAATGATGAATCAACCAGAAAATCACCTCAAGTAAGTTTCTCTGCAACTAGTTTTTAATTTAAATGGTATGAATACTTAAACTTGGATATCTTAGGGTAGTCACATGTTGTATTGGATTGTGTTGATGTTGTTGTGATGTTAGTCTGATGAAATTCTTTTTATAAATGTTTGATTTTAGAGTGCAACTACTCCCAGTGCTACTACTCCCAGCACTGCTAGTAGCAAAGGTGCTAAGCAGAAGTGTTTTCTATTAGATATTGATAACACTGGGCAGAGAGTTGCAATAGGTCGGGTGTCTTCAACTGATCCAGCAGAGAAGGTCCATCACGTCCCTTTAGGTGCCAACGCTAGCAAGGTCTGGGTAGAGGTTTCCAAGGTTGAGGGTGCACGAGTGTGAAGAGCAAATTCTGAAGTTAAATTCATTGTTGATGCAATAGGAACCACTGTGGCTTGGCCTAATGACAAGATTATATTCATGTGATTTGAGTTTGAGTACTTTTGAACTAAGTTTCTAAAAATGTAAAACTTATGTTTGACTCTTTTGGAACAAATAATTAATGAAGTATTTGATAAACCCAGATTTTAATATTTTTATATCGATTCAAATTATATAAAACAGAAATATAGATAAATTAATATAATGTTATAATAGATTAATAATTAACATAACATTGCCTAAAATGTTGTTAATAATATTATTAATAACAACATAACTACGCTATTATATAATATTTAATTGTATTTACTAAAGCGCTATTGTATAGAACAATAACATAGCATTACGAAAGAGCGCTATCTAAAGTGTCTGACCTATTATGACGGGCGCAGAAATAGCGCTTGTCAAAACGCTATAGTATCGTTAGATAGCATTATTCAGGTGCTACGAAAAGCCCTTTTTCTTGTAGTGATCTCATCTACATAATTTTCTAACTTTTGGAAAATCTAAACCAAACTGCAAGTCGAAAAAACCATTAACGTCAAGCGAATCCTCCTATAGAGAATCAAAAATTACCTCACAACCTACACCCTCTTAGGCTTCCAATCCAGCAAGATGGATCCAAGATAAAAATGTCTAGATACTCACACTTCTCCCGAAAACGACGATGTCGAAAGAACCACAACTTGTAAACATCTCGGTAGAAACCTTTAAATTAAACAGATCTCGATCAGATCTTTTTAAGTAGAGAACGAGCAATCATAAATCCAACCGGCTCACACCGAACTCACACAAGCACAACAAGAGATTGAACCGGAGAGACACTTAGGCAAAATCCCACAGAGAAACCAAAAAAAAGGGTTTTCTGCAAAACAACCCTCTAAGTCAATTTCGTTTGCAAGTTTACCCTCCAAGTCCGAATTATGCAAGTCAACCCTACAATCTCAAAAGTCACCTGCAATACTGCCCTCCCGTGTAGCGATGACATGGCACTCGATAACTCCGTTTGAAAACATAAGGGGTTTTTGCAAAAAAAACCTCCATATAATTTTTTTTTGCAAGACAAAACCTCCATGTCAAATAAATGCATGTCAAACCACAATCTCAAAAGTCACCTGCAATATGGCTCTTCCGTATATCGATGACGTGGAAATCGATAACTCATTTTATGTAATGTAGTATGTAGGAGTATCATTGATACAAAATTGGAATCGCTCCAACTTTAGATCACTTGATGATCAAGAGATTCCAAGCTTTTCACGCGGAAGGGTGGAATTCACGAGCTGGCCCTGAAGCACTCTCTCGTGAATCAAGGGGTGGTACGATGGATAGATGTGGTGATTGACTCGCACAATCAGTGGGATAATCGACTCACTCGATCAATGAACGAATAAAGGATGTTGAATCACTCAACAAACTCAATTTGCAAGCTTCTAAAGTACTAAGTGACTCACTCACAAAGAACTAAAGAACAAATGACAAAGATTTAAACTTTGACAAGAAGAAACGTTTCTATTACTTTAAAATGATCAAGGGTCCTTTACAATGAGATAAGAGATCAGCTTATATAGAGCTGAGTACAACGTTCTAAAACTATAAAGAAAGAAACAAATCACAAACATAAATGAAAATATATGGCCATTGGACATTAATTGTAGAATTTGTCCAAATAAGGCAAGTGAGGTGTGCCTTGTATCTTGTCAACTTGGGGAGGAAGTTGTGACGTCTTGGAAGCTTCTGGAAGGTCTCAAGAGTCTAACACAAGCGCACAAACAAAGAAGGAAAGAGTTGTTGTAAGTTGATCTCCTTCGGCTCCATATATGGCAAGTAGTAACTCTGCGGGGTGTGTGGTAAGGTGTACCAAAGTTCGTGTGGTACATGTTTTGTGTGCCCTAGATGTTCTCTTGGTTTCCATATGTAGCTTTGAGGTGCGTCCAAGTGTAGAATAAGGAAGATTTCCTTGTTTGGCTTCATTTGGCGCAATACTTCAGAGGGTAATTCAGCAAGTAGTTCAGTGAGTAGTTCAGCCGGTCCGTCAGCAAGTACATCAACTATATGTACTCGTAACATCTTCGAATCAATCGTTTGGTGAATGATTCCTTGATGACTTGATGTTGCCTCGTTAAAAACCTTTCTAGGTAAACCCATTGGGACAAACCCTAGATAAGGGAAAAAGAGTGCAACGGTCAAATTCCTACAATATGGTGATTCGGCACGCTGGTCTTTAATTCCTCTTGAACCATCATTAGTCTTCTTAGGGCTAATTTGCTGGTGAATAATTAACTCTAGGCTTTGTGCTTGACTTGTACTCCATTTGGGCAAGAATCCTCCAACTTGCTCCATATTAACCGGTTTGATACATGTACCAGCTGGTTTGGTATGCTCCCGGTTTGGTTTGATTTGGATGTCCGCATTTATCATGCATCTCGAGCCTCAAATTGGTTAATTCTTCCATCATAGCCTCATCCCACCATTTTCATATGTGATATGCCCCGGTCTATCAAAATTCAACCAAAACGTCAACCAAACTTAGGTCTATCAAAATTCAACCAAAACGTCAACCAAAATTCAAAACTATGAATCACTTAAAATTCAACTAAGATTCAACCAAGATTTCTGATCATGTAAAAAACAATTCAACAAACACTTACATCAAAATTTTGACATGTGTAGAATAGCCTTGCATAACCTTTTCGGACAAAGACGAATCTGGGAAAGCTATTCTACACATGTCAAATTTTGATGTAAGTGATTGTTGAATTGTTTTTTACATAATCGGAAATCTTGGTTGAATTTTAAGTGATTCATATAAAGTTTTGAATTTTGGTTGAAGTTTTGGTTGAATTTTGATAGACTGGGGCATGCCACATATGGAAATGGTGGGATGAGGCTATGATGGAGGAATTAACCTAGTTGAAGCTCGAGATGCATGATATTTCTACATTACATAAAATGAGTTATCGATTTTCACGTCATCGATATACAGAAGGGCTATATTGCAGGTGACTTTTGAGATTGTGGTTTGACCTGCGTTTATTTGATATGGAGGTTTGTCTTACAAAAGAAAATTACATGGAGGGTATTTTTGCAAAAACCTCTTATGTTTTCAAACGGAATTATCGAGTGCCACGTCATCGCTACATGGGAGGGCAGTATTGCGGGTGACTTTTGAGATTGTGGGGTTGACTTGCATAAATCGGACTTGGAGAGTAAATTGGCAAACGAAATTGACTTAGAGGGTTATTTTGCAGAAAACCAAAAAAAAAAAAAAACTCAGACAGAAGCACAAATCGGCTACAACAAAGCCTATACGAAGACCCTAGTAACGATATATTAAAAACATGTGGCCTCGCTATATAGCTAGTTATACAACTTGTGTAACGAACTTGGGAGATTTTCCCTTATAAATAACATGATTACTAGATTTTAACTCGCAGTACACCGCGGGATGATTTATTTTTAAAGTTAGTATAAAAATATTTTGTAAATTGTATCTCCTTATAAAATATTTAGTTATATTATAATTTACAATTGTGATTAAGTAACGGTATACCACGAGTCTACGAGACAATTGTTAATAAACTGAGGATTTAACCCGTATTAAAGCGGCATGTTAATGATTCAAATTAGATTCAAATTCGTCCGCCATATAAACCCGTTCCGAAATATAACCCGTTCCGTAATTTCTTAACCCGTTCCGTGATTTGTTTTTATTATAAAATTTAATGATTATTTATTATATATAAAAGTTTACAAATCATATCATTCTCTAAGTCATTTATATTTTAATAAACTGAGGATTTAACTCGTATTAAAGCGGCATGTTAATGATATTTTAAAATTTTATAAATATTGATTCAAACCCGTTCGCCATATAAATCCGTTCCGAAATATAACCCGTCCCATAATTTCTTAACCCGTCCCATGATTTGTTTTCTAAAAGTAGTGATTTTAAAATTAAATGATTTTTATTATATATAAAGTTTATAAATTGTATCATTCTCTAATATATTTATATTTTAATAAACTAAGGATTGAATCTGTATTAAAGCAACATGTTAATGATATTTTAAAATTTTATAAATGTTGATTCAAACTCGTCCACCATATAACCCGTCCTGTAATTTTTTAATATGTCCCGTAATTTGTTTTCTAAAAGTAGTAATTTTAAAAAATTTAACGATTATTTATTATAGATAAAAGTTTATAAATTGTATCATTTTCAAAGACATTTATATTTTATAGTTTACAATTGTTATTAAGTAACATTATACCACGAGACAAATTTTGATTTTATACAATCTTTTCTAAATGTGACTGATTTGATATGTCTAATATTAGTGGTATTAAAAAAAAAATTAAGGATTTAATCCGTATTGAAGCGGCGGATTAATGATATTTTAATCTTTTTATTATTGTTGATTCAAAAACCCGTCTCGCCAAACCCGTCCGGCCAAAAAACTCATTTATTTTATTAATGTTGATCTTATTTATGATATGGTTATGAATCATTATCTAAATATTTTAATCGATGTAGAACGTTGCACACACATTTTCGTCAATTGGATAATATATGTCCGTTTTTAAAATTTCGAATCATAGTATATGCAGAAATTTTTTTTTTTTTTTTTTACTTTATGTATTATATGATGATTCAAAACAGTTAAAAACAAATCAAACAAAGATGATAGGAGAATCATAATTCTAAATCTTAATTAAATCTTCTAAATATCTAAACTATTAAATATGGAATATCCGGTGTATGAGTTGGGTTAAATATAACCCAACCCAACAAACTTTTTGTGAACAAAATTTAAAAACAGGTCGGGTATCCGATATACCCGGAAGCATTTTTACCCACCTGTCACCAAAGTGTTGCAAAAATACTAGTATAGACTAGAATACGACCCGCGGTACACCGCGGGTTAAATAAATTTTTGTTTGTGTGTTTTTTATAATTTAATTATTTTTGTTATATATATTTGATTAAGAAATTTTTGGTTTATAATCTTATGATTGATTGTATTTGGTTTGTAATAAACTTAGATTTTATCCCGCGGTATACCGCGGATTGATATTTTTGTAACTAAAAAGTATAAATTTAAGTTGTGGTTTTTTTTTCAACATTGTTTGTTTTGTT